ATTCACCCCCTTTGTGTTTTGTTGCCTTAAAAACTGGAATTAATTTTATTTTTTTTATTTAAATGGAAAATATGAGCATGCATTACAAGACCCCACTCAAAAACGTCAATCCTTTGTAAGGCCACCTTCTCTTCTGGTTTGTCTCCATGAGTGTGGTGCATGCTTAGGCAGCCACTGGGGTCAACGTTCTCTATACGAGGAGAGGTATCAGGTTTGAACCAGGCGTAACGTTTTCCTTGGCCAAAAAGTTTAATTTCACAGATTTAGGCTTTGCTCATTAAAAAGCTAATTAAAAATGTTTAAAGTGATTCATGCACATGCCGTTTTATAAACTTTTCTATTGCTGTCAATAGTTTGTCGATCTATTTGTAGGCGCAAATAGAAGCAGTGGCAGTTAGCTGTAGCACTTCCAGTACAACCTGAAGCATTTCAGGTCCAAAAGCAGATTGAACCGAGGACCTTCTTGCTGTGAGGCATCAGTGCTAACCACTAATCCACCATGCTGTCATAACTAAACTGAATAATCTACAATCGGGAATTCAGGTAAAGGTTTATAGATGTTTATCACTGGTAATGTTAAATTAATATTGAACCATGCGTGTGAGGAGCAGGGAGTTATTTTTCTCTCTCAGAGAGCAGCCTGCAGGCACCTGACACCTCCAAGTCTAAGAGGCAAAGGTCATTGTGCTGATAAGTGTGTATAAAACACTTCCTGTACACTGTCCATTGCAAATCTTTGTTACCGGGGCTTCAATGAAACATCTGTGTAAGCCTGTGTGACCGTCTGCCCTGGCAAGTAAACTGGGTGAAAAATATTTTTCTGTCTTTGTGTGGCTCTTTTTAAGTAAGTAGATAATGAAAGGATATTTTTATCCAACATTTTGGTCCTTCGAGCCGGATACAACATCTACGGAGGCTGAGTTACCTCCCACAGGAGTCAGAGAAACAGTCTGCATTTTCAAATAAAGCAGCTTTTTTTTGCAGAAGTTGAAAACTGTTTATTCAAACAGTGATAATGAAGGTTTGTGCTTTGAAAGGTAACAGACAACTTCAGCTGTTTTCCCCAATTCTTTGAACATTTAGCAAAGGATGGCGTCGGACCCAAAGCTGGGTTGAAGTTGAACTCTTTAGTATGACAATGTGATTGTGAAGAAGATTAAAGCCTTCAGTAAAACTAAAGTTTGAAGCACACATGTGTTTAAAAGAATAAATACAAAACCTGACGGGTAATTACCGGTATGGTCAGGCTGCGACTGTTCGAGACTATTTGGCGACTCGATTGTGAGGAAAAAAGGCCAATTTTCAGTCGTAGCTGCAGTGTTTGTGAGCAGCGAGCTGCTTGGCTGCATTACAGTGACCAGTTGTTAAAAATACTCAAACTATTTTTCATGTGCACAGCTTGTTTATTAGTTACTTATTTATCATCCGTGTGGACTTGTAGACCAGTGAGCTATTGTGCAGGAAACAAAAACAGCTTCAGAATGATAAAAGCTCAGATGAGACAAGTTTGAGACTTTTCAGACAGTTTGTAGGTCCCACAGTAGCACAAAAAACTCTTCCCCCAGTGGAAACAGTACCTTTGTTGTCATTGGGACCTTTAACCACAATGTGTGCGTCCAGCTCCTGCAGCTGAGCTTGAAGGGACTCCAGCTTGCGTTTGGAGCTGCGGAGCTGAGAGTCCACCTGCTGGGCATTCCTCTTGTCTGTAATAGCCCTGCGCAGGTTATCTGCACCCTCCTTGATCTTCAGCTCCTTACGGATCTCCCTGCGGATCTTCTCGCGGTGCTCATCCAGGCGCTGCTGTACGCTGGTGTCTGAGAAGTCCGAGTTCTGGTCCAGGCCGAGCTGCTGGAGCACCGACAGCCCATCTGGATCGGTCTGAGGAGGAGAACATGAGGCTAGCAATGAATAAAGCATAGGCGTGAAGGGAAAGGTAGATGGCAGGAAATACGAATACCGTAATTTCCGAACTATAAGCCTCTGCTTTTTTCACACGCTTTGAACACCGCAGCTTAAACAACGCTGCGGCTAATTGATAAATCTTTTTTTTGACTGTCTAACGAGCTTTGTGCAGCCAAAACATTTAGCTTCGTCACACCCAGGCACTCACATAGTTGCCCAATTCACATCTCTCTTGGGAGGTGAGTCCTCCTGACTCAATGAGACTACTGTATTTCTCGCCGTACACGTCGCACTGCCCTATAAGTCGCATCAGTCCAAATATATCTAATAAAGTGGAAAAATCCATGAATGTGTCGCCGTATACATGGCATCTATTATGCGTCACTGCTGACAACCCGGAAATGTGGGCCAGTGTTGTGCCAAAAATTGATTGGTTGTCAAATGGTGGCCGCGGGAGCGTGCACAGGAGGACTTTAACAAGAATTTAACAAGATGAACAATTAAAAACAATTATTTGTTTGCTCGAAATTATAGTAAAGGTGTGTCTCAATCTAACTTTTCCTTAATAAATGCACTTTGATGGTCAAATCAGCTGCATTTCAAAAACTGATATGCGGACTTGCTGTGCATTTCTTCGAAATTTAACAAGATAATCACCTAAAACAATTATTTGTTTACTCGACATTATAGTAAAGGTGTATCTCAGTTTAACTTTTACTTAATAAATGCATGTGTAGGGATGGCACCATCTTGTGGGCCTTCCCTATCTGTGCACCCTTGTGTCATTTAATCCTGATTGATTTCACCTTCTGTTCTCAGCTGTTTGTAATCAAGTCTTGTCTTGTCTGTGTATTTAAGCCTGTCAGTGAGTCTTGTCCTTTGTCTCGTCGTCGTTGGGTATTGTCCTACCCTGCCAGCCTGATCTGTTCCTCGTTCCCTGTTTTTGTAAGTTGCTGCCACGTCAGCCTTTTTGATTTATTATTAAAGAGTACTTATTTTTGTAATCCTTGAGTCCTGGCTCTTTCCCTGCTCAACTGGGTTCACTCCTGCCCTGACCTGTCTGAAACCCTGACAGCATATCAATGGTCAAATTAGCTGCATTTCGCCGGGGCGGCGCAGTGAAATGAAGCTGATTTGCCGTTGCTCCAGGCATGTTCCTGGAACTGGACCAAGGTGGCAGACTAAGACAAACTGATTGTGTCATTAATAGCCACTTTTACCTGACACAATGGCATGCCATACTATTCGAGTGCTATCTAGTGGCTGAAAATGGTAGTGTTCAATATTTTCCATGTCAGAATGAATGAAAACGGTCATATCTCAGTCAAAAATTGGTTTATAAATATGGGGGGAAATCCATAAATATGCTGCTTTGGTGTATAAGTTGCAGAGCATGTAAATAATGCAAAAAACTGTGACTTATAGGTCGAAAAATATGGTACCTGTATAAATAAAGGTCAAAAAATAAAATAAAATCTGACCAATGAAATTACCAAACAGGTCACAGTGGGTTGCCCCCTCCATTTCTCCGTTAAACTAATTGATCAATTTTCCCGTTCTCTCCCCCCCTCCCCGTTGTGACCCCAGGGAGGAGGGGAACTTCATTTGTGTCTCATTGCTTCTTCCTTTGCAGTGCGCAGGAGGAAGATGAACATAGCGATCAATGACTTCCTGGTAGGCTACTGTATTTATTTATAAAATTTTTTAACCAGCCGTGTTACAAACACTGTTCAGAAAAAAAAAAACATTTACTATACACATTTGTGTATGTTACCCGTACATATTTAATTAAAAGTTTAAAAAATATTTCTATGTAAATATCTCATGTTACAACATGGACATGGACACCTGTGGTTTATAGACAAGCGTGGCCTATATATGTACTTCTTTTTTTTGTTAGCGCAGCATACATTCAGGTGTGCTCAATAGTCCAGAAATGAGGATAAGTCACTGCACAAGTTGTGTAAGTTAGAGGAAATATAACCTCATTTCTGAATAAGTGTACTGCCTTCAGAACATTCACCGTCCGTCAACAAACTATTACACAGCAATCTATGGCAATGGCCCTGACCTTGTATAACCTTTCACCTTGATTTGTGACCTTGACCTAAGGATGGGGTGATTAAAGGATTATGCCACATTCTCTCTCTTTGTGGTACAAAAATGTATCAAGTTTAGTTAAATCATTTAGAGCTTTTGTCATTTTGATTATTTGGCTGTACGGACAGAGACTTTACCATCATACCTCCACCTTTCGATAATTTCATAAAAAGTTTGAACGTTGTGCACAAATGTAAATGAAGACAGAGTGCACTGATCTGTAAATCTCAAACCCACGTTATTCATAGTGAAAATACATTAAACATTTTTCTAAACAAAAAAATCGTACCATTAAAAATTGAACTTGATGGCTTGTACTTATTTTAACAAGCAGTGCACCAATGTCCCCCTGGGGAACAGTGAATGTTTGTAGTTTTCAAGATGAGTGTTTTTCTGGACTGGAAATGAACAGGGGACGCAAGTAAACCTTAATGTTGTTGGGGCAAGATATTCAAGTGAATAGGAGTTATACGGTGGAGAAGAAGAGTTTTTTTTCCCCTTGTCTGAGGCGGTGCAGAGTGACAGATCCTGGCGAGTGGAGGGTGAAATTTTATACACCACCAGGTGCAATGGTGGAGCTCGGGGGGATGGCCTTTGTTAACGCAATCATTGGCCACCCCAGTCATTTGAGGAAACTATACTTTGGAGTTTTCCTTTTAGTCTTTCTAAACTAGAAAGCATAGTTTTCTCATATGATGGGGTGGTCAGTTTTCATATGTGTATGTGGTGGCCATCTTGGATTTTGACAGTAACTTACGCCTAGATGTTGTCACACACCAAAATAAATGAGTACCTCACTTATTTTTCAAGTTATCATGCTCACAACACGGTTAGACAGACGGTATTTCTGATCCCTTCTTTCGCTCCATGACGGGGGACAAAAACCCTGAGACGGGGTCACGTTTCTCACCGTGAAACTTCTCTTCTTTTAACAACAGCCTGTAAACATCGAGGAACTGAGGAGAGCAGCTGCTGGAGGTTCTGGAGGGAAATGTCCTATTCATGTCTGATGGAGGATTCTTGCTGTTCAACAGTCCTGGGTCTCTAAGCTGTATTTTTTAATGGTTTGAATTAGTGAGTGGTCTGGACTCTTCTACAAATCCATGCTGTTGTAACTGAGGTGGTAGATGTTCCTTCTTCTCTTCAGCATTGAGAATGTGCTTTTGGTGGTTTCCAAAAACAGTTTCAAATGATGATTTATCTTACCTCAGAACAGTTTCCCACTTTGCATTAGTCCATGTTAAATGAGTTTTGACAGAAAAGATGGCAGTATTTCTGGCTGGTCGTCACAAATGGCTTCTTCTGTGCATGACAGAGCTTTAGACAGTGTTTGTCAGTGTCACAGGGACGTGTGTTTACAGATAATTATTTGTAGAAGTGCTCCTGAACCATGAAGGGATGTCCAGAACAGAACCAGACCTTTTTTAATGCCCTCTGAGGACCCAAAGATTACAGACTGACCTTCAACCATGTTCTTTGAAATCAGAGATTTCTCCATATTATTATTTTTACTGTAAATGATGAGATATTCAAAGTCTTTCCAATGTTTCATTCAAGAACACCAAAGTTCATGCTCAGTAATCCAGGTAATAATCCAACAATGTTCAGTCAGGTCATCTGGACGGTTTCTTTTTTTGCTGAGACGTTTCGCCCTTCATCCAAAGGACTTCCTCAATCTGAGGAGCCACCAACAAACTGAGTCCCATCACAAACAGCATACGCCCATAGTGGAAAAAAAAAGTCTCCTCACCAACTTAGTTTCCATTGGATGAAGGGCGAATCGTCTCAGCAAAAAAAGAAACCGATCAGATCCTGACTGAATATTGTTGGATTCAAGAACATGATTTTGAAATTGTTCCAATATTTTTAGACAAAGTTTTACGCAGACTGGTGAACCTCGGCCTATTTTTTGTTGTGAGAGATTCAGCCTCTCTAAAATGCTCGTTTTATACCCAGTCCTCTTACTCATACCCATTAAGCCAATTAGTTGCAAAAATCCTCCTCCAGCTTTCTTATCCAGGGCACTTACTTTTACTGCCTTTCTCACCTCTGTGCCAACTTTATTAAAGATATGCAGCAATCAAACGCAAAGTTAATTAAATAACAAACATTATTTTTTTTAAAACATTTGCTATTGTTACAATGGTCCACAGTGAATAAAATATGGTTCATTAGATTCAAAAACCCATTTTACACAACCTCCTGACTTTTTGGGGATTGGCGTTTATTTTATTAGTGGAATTATTTAGTCAGAGAGCTGCTGGACTGAAATTACGCCCGTTAACCATCGTCCTGCACAGTTCGAACACACAGTGGGATAAAATGGAGGACGAACAGTAACCCTGAGGGAAACTAGTGAAACCTGAACAGCTGAAAACTGTGAGGTCGCCTTAAAGCAGAGGCTTCACTTAAGTGCATAAAGAGCTGAGTGCTCACATCAGCTCTCCTCCTGATCAACACTAACAGGATTACAGCAGCTTAGAACAACATTAAGACCAAACAAAATCAAACCTGGACTCGTCTGCTTTTGCCTGGGTCACATATAACTAAACACACGCTTCGTGAACAATGCACTAAAATCATGATTCCTCACAAAGTTTAGCCGTTTTCTTCTAAAACCAAGTTTGTTCACTTTACGACAACACGAGTCACACGTGTTTCTTTCAGTTATCAGGCTCCTCTCTTGTGGAACCAACTTCCAGTTTCTGTCCGTGAGGCTGACACATTGTCCAGTTTTAAGACTGGACTGAAGACTTCCCTTTTTACTAAATCCTATAGTTAGGGTCAGCTTGGGTTTCCTGAGCTCTCCCTTAGTTATGCTGCTGGAGGACAAACGTACCACTTTTTCTTTACTCTGCTACTGTCTTTACTTATTCTGCTCAATCTGTTTTGTATTTGTAATTTTTTTTTTTCTATCCTACATGTGTTTTTGTCTTTCAGGTATACCTGCATCTGTCATTCTGTGTTTGTTTGTCTCTCTTTCTGTCCTCTCAAACCCAGCTGGTCAAAGCAGATGGCCGTTTCTCCTGAGCCTGGTTCTGCTGGAGGTTTCTTCCTGTTAAAAGGGAGTTTTTCCTTTCCACTGTTGCCTTTGTGCTTGCTCAGGATGGGAGACTGCAACAAAGTGAAGATTCAACTTGTCTGCTGCTTCCTTAGATAGAGAACTTTACTAATTGGCTTTTCTATGTATGTGAATGTTCCTGTAAAGTGCCCTGAGACAACTTTGTTGTGATATGGCGCTATATAAAGAAACTGAATTGAAAAAAATTATGTCCTCATATGAGGACAGTATGTTTTTTCTTTGCATTTTATTTATTTATTTATTTATTTATTTTGCAAATTGGCATCATAAGGTCCCAGTTACCCTAAAACCAAATTGTCAGCTTTCTTTGATAAGCAGTTCTTAAAAAAATCTATGTCCTAATATGAGGACCCAGGGTCTCTGGAGGTACAGTAGTCCCTCGCTCCTTCGCGGTTCGACTTTCGTGGACTCACTCTTTTGCAGTTTTTCAAAGATTGAACATGAGGGGAAAAAACTGTACAGGACACATGACTATCAACTTTATTACTCATCTGATTGGGACAATATGGGATACAGTACTGTACAGTAAAAAGTTAACGAAATAATAAAATACTTCAGACAGGCACTGTCATTTTGTAGTTTTCGCTCAGTAAGCCTACATTGTATCACCACTCATAAGGACTACATTTCCCAGAAGTTAACAGTGTCCCATCCAGAAGCCCTGTTGCCTTCTGCTGAAATACGCAGAGAGAATGTTTTGATCTGATCCAAAAAAGTTTGGTCATTTACAGTGACTTCGGCGCCCAGCAGATTCAGAGAGCCGCATGGAACCCACCGGGAACCGGACCAGAACTGGACCTCCAGACCCATCAGCAAATCCGAGAGCTTGTAGCCCACCCACGAGGACTTCCGAGTGGGGGACGTGCCACTGTAGGTGTGGCGCTCACTCCGGAGCCCACCAGGACTTTTTTCATCTCTTTATAGGACTGCTCAATTGGACCACCGGTCCTGCGCTGCCCACCCAAAGGTCCAGCCCCCTTCAAAATGTGCTTTGGAGCTCAAGGGCTGCACAGAACCGGACCAGAAACGGACCTCCAGACTCATCAGCAAATCCAACAGCTGGTAGCCGGCCCACAAGGTCTTCTGAGCGGGGGACATGCTGCCGTAGGTCTGGCAGCTCTGCAGCACACTGCCACTACACCGAGCCAGAGAACTGATCAGAACCGGCAGGGTAGGTTCGCCGAAACAGAACCAAGTCAAAGCAGAACCGAGCCACCACTGTTCTACAGAGCTGGTAAGTAAAATTTAGTAGCTACATTTAAGTATGTTGTTGAAATTAGTAGGTTTAAAAGTTTAGAACGTTGTGGGCTTCATCACTGCAGGGTAGATCTGCAGAAATGGAATCGAATCGGATCGGAACCGAGCAGAACTGTGAGCCACAGCTGTTCTGCCAGCTGGCGAGTAAAATTTAGCTATATATACATATGTTGTTAAAATTCATTCAACCTTTATTTATGCAGGTTAGTCTCAGTGAGTCTTGCGGACTCGTTTACAAGAGAGACTATTAAAATGACATAGGTTTAAAACTTTAGAACATTGCAAGAGTGTAGGGAGGGTTCATAAAGACAACATATCTATAAATACTAAAATAAATATAACATCGCTACTTTACGGATTTTCACTTATTGCGGGGATGTTCAGTACGTAACCCCCACAATAATTGAAGGACTACTGTAATCTGGAATAATTTTTTTTCTGGCTTTTTCCTGTTGTAGCACAGTTAGCATACTTGTCAAAGATATGTCTGTGATATGTTTGTTTTGTAAAGTATTTGAGGTTCGTTCCAGTTGGTGGTTAATTTGTAAACCAAACGATGATGAAACGCAAATAGCGGTGGGGGTGGGGGGGTCCCTCAGTAATTTTTGACTAAAGTAGATGCCATTTCCTGCATTCTGATGTATTTTAACGGGTTGTTAAACATCTACGTTTACCTACATTTGCAAACACTTGATTCAACAACTATTTTAGAGAGCAACAAGAGGTTTCCTGACCAACAGCTCCCCTTGAGTGAATAGAGCACGCTCCGCTCCTCTCAAGCATCCTTGCACATGCTCCAATACTATCTCCATTGCCACTGCCTTCATGTGCTTCAATTCTCGGTTGTTTAGTTGTACAGTGAGAAGACTTTATTTAAAAAATTTAAATAAATTGGACTGTCTTTTCAACATTTTGATCACTTTTATTTGGACAAATTGGCGCCATTGTTTTGCTACATGATGTAGCTACATAACGTGATTACCCATCAAGCATTTTGCTTGTATTTTTAATAAATAATCCAATTGTTTTAATGACCCACTTAAACTGTAAAACTGATTTGCAATTTAGTTGTGGTGTTTAATTATAATTTTGTGTTTTTAATTAAATTGCCCATGACAGTATTTTCAGGGGTGAAGATTTTTTAAAGGGTAGAAGTGGAAATGCTTACTTAAAGGGACAGTTCTGATGTGATATTAGGAAGCTCATAAGTGGCTGTTATGTTTAAAATTAGTGTTTATGTAAATATTTTCAGATTACATATCCAATATAGGTTGTATTCGTTCAAGGCAGTCAAATTTGTTCATAACTTTATTATTAGTAAGCCTGAGAGTAACCGGATCCAAGCAAACAGCTACCGGAAGGCACCCTGTCAAAATAAGAGTTCCCAAATCCTGTTCCAGCAGGATCCAGCTCAAATTAAGCCCTAGTTCTAGTGCTGGAAACTCATAGACTTTAAAAGTTTTTGCCCATCATAATCCAAAGGTTTTTGATGCGTTTGTCCAGTATGTTTAATTTAAACTTAAGTTTAATTTATAAAATGCAGGTTTTCATCAACTTATTTAACAGTCAGATGTAACTCTACAACTGTTTAACATTTAGAGCGAATCCAAATCAAGATGGCTGCCACAGCTAGTGATGTTAGCAAACACAAAACTGGTTATAAATTGGTGACTTGTCCAGATGCTGAGCTGAAACTTGGCATGGTAGTAGCTGAGAGTCATCCCCAACACATATGTCACAAGAACTTAGCTTAAAACTTTGGCATTAACTATTGGAGTTAACCTTGTTAGTCTGTTAGCAAAACATCGTAGGAACCACTGCAAAACATTCTATCTTTTTTATAAAGTTATTATTTAATGTACCTCTACAGCTGCTTAACATTTGGAGTCAGATGAAGTCAAAACGGCTGCCAAAGCTAGTCTAGCTTAATCAAAATAGCTGTAATGCAGTCAGTTTTACAGATACTGAGCTAAAATGTAATGTGGTAGTAGTTGAAAGTACTCTAAGCCTAAAATCTATTTTCATTGTATGACCAAAAGATTACAACTCCATCATTTCTCATAATTAGATCTTAGTTTGAAACTCTGGTGTGAAAGACAGCGGGCGCATTCTTTTAAGGAATGGGACTTTATATGTTAGCAATCAGAATTCACCCTGAAATAGTTGTTTTTATTTCTGCAGTAAAAACATTGTATTTTTGTATTGAACTCCTCTTTAAAACCAGGCAACACAACCCCCCAGTGAGAGTATATGGACTGCTCAGAGCCGTCCAGCTTAGCAGATCTGATTACAACATCTTCAGCCGTGTCCATGCAGCTCCATGCAGGCTGAGGCTGCAGCTCTGTGCTCATTAAAGCTGTAATCCATCTGCAACACAATGCCCTGCTACAGCCGGGCCCAGCACTGGGCCCATACCAGGCCGAGCCAGGCTGTTAACTGCATCATCGCTCTGCATGTCGCACATACTGACAGATGAGCACCGTTATGAAGACGGACATTTAAGATATTTTTCAGGAAGTTAAGAGACCCAGAATTTCTTTAAAAAGCATCTCAGCAGCTGCTTTTTGTGCCAGAGTCAAGAATTACAGTTCTCTTATGTAGCCATTTTGATCAAAACTTGAAAATAACCTCACCTGCGAGACTCAGTGTGTGTGCTAAGGATGGGTCTCAGCTACTACCACACCAAATTTGAGTTCAGGTTCTGTAAAACTGGCGACACGGTCCTTTTTGTGTTGGTTAGTGTCGTTTAGCTGTGATGGGCATCTTTAACTGAGTTGACTTTCAAGTGTTCATGTGACATTTTGCTAACAGACAAACACTCCATCCATCAGTGCTGAGGTTTCAGGTAATGATCTCACACAATAAAGAACGCTTGCAGTACGTGTTGCAAATGACTCTCAGCTACTACCATGCTACATTTTAGCACATTATCTGTAAAACTCACTCAATTAAAGCTGTTTTTATTAAGTGAAGTGGCTGTGGCAGCCATCTTGAATCAAGCTGGCCCTACGCATTAATCTTTGTCGATGTACAGCTAGTTTCTTAAAAACTCATCCAGTGCTTTATGAGAGATTTTGTTAACAGACACACAAAACACTATTGTGCACCTTCTCTTTTAGCGACAGGTGATAAGCGTTGAAGTTTTGGTGCACAGCATCCTCAGCTCGGTCTGAGCAGAACAGAAAACACAGCCAGCAGCGCGCCACGAACGACAGGAAGGGAGAGTGTTCTGCTCTGACGCACTTCTGTCCAACACAATACAACATAATCCCTGGTGCTTTCCAACAAAGAACCTCTGGAGTGACGAGTAAGAGTAAGAGCAGGCAGACAGAGAAACTTTCTGCTGATCTGCAGTGACCGAGCAGATGCTTTTTTTACAGGAAGTGAACAAGGAAGCTGACAGAAAAGACAGCCATGAAGCGCCGAGCAGGTGGCAGCGACGAGGCTCGCTCCGGCCATTACCAAAGACTCTGCGTCGCTCTGGTCGGTGGGTGTCGGGGAGTCAACCAGCTGATCCCCAAGAAGGTCTTCTGACAAGTCCTCACTGGCCATCATCAGCCTCCCTGGGCCTCACACTCTGTCACACACACACTCACACCAAGCAGGCAGCCCGTGGAGCTGGAACACGTAGATGTGCAAGTCCTGGCTGTCCTTTCAGACCAAGAATCCAAGAGCTCAGTCCAAACCTGGATTGAGGGAATGAGGTAAAGAGGAAGACAGAGCAGCAGAGAGACGGCACCCCACCTCGCTGCTTCCTGTTCTGCTCTTCGGCAGATAGAAACTGAGGCGTCGTGCACTTTGTGCACACACTCGCCTGGTGTTGTAAGTGAGAGATGACAGTCATTCTGCTTCCTGCTACCGGGTCTCTCCGGAGCCTAGAGACAGGCTGTTGTGACAGAACGTGTTAGAGTCACTGTCAGACGCTGTACTTGTAGATGGAAGTCAAACCGTGTGTGTGGTGTTTACACAGAGTCAGCACCTAAATGTATAAAAGAGCGGAATCTGGAGGATGAACCCCAATGAGAGGTGGGGTCAAAAGGGCCAACGAGACTCCTGCAACACAAATAACAGCGCTTTATTAGGAAGAGGCTCTGCGTTTTATTCTCCAACGATGTAAGACTGTGTCTCATGACGCAATCTAACAACACAATGAGCAGTCTCTGCCCCGGGGTGGACTGACCAACAACACTTCCTGTGAACCAGAGACCAGCAGGTCCTGAGCTTTTCCTGCTCAAGGACCCTCTAAGTCCTCACCTCTCTGGCTCAGAATGCTTTAGATGAAATGGACAGAAGAGGACCAAAAAGTAGCAAACAGCACATCCAGTATTTTTTCACTCTGCTGTAGAGGAATAGGAAGTGAAATAAAGCAAGGCTAAACCAGTCAATAATGCCCTACTCACCATATCTACAAGATTTTTTAGATTTCCTTACCAAGGAGGAGCTGGAACTCTTGTAGCTGGTTATGGTGGAACTTGGACCAGTGGCTGAAGAAATAGCAGCCCCCATGCATCCATACTGCCCAGAGCTGTCACAGAGACGTCTGAGCGCTCTTTACTCCCTCCACGGAGAGAAAATGAAACGGTAAACCTTGGTAAGAACTGCTGTGATGCCTGCAGTCACAAAACTGAAATAGATGCACCAACTATAACTGTGCTGACCACAGTATCAGGAAATAAGATCACATCACTTTACAAACACAGCTCTTAAAGTTAGACTAACACTGTTTAGGACTGAAGTGATCTAATATCAGAAAATTATTATTAGGTATCGAAGCACTCTTATTACCATTTGGACGTTTTTCTTCAGTATACTGAGCTATGACTTCAGGTACCATACCATACCATACCATACCATACCATACCATACCATACCAGCTTTATTTATAGAAGGAAAGGTATCAGTACATTTTACAGCTTAGATGCAATACACAATAAATGGACAAGGGGCCTTTGGAGAAATAAGTGCGCAAACCCTGCCCTCTTTAGCTCTGTAGCTCAGACATCACAGTACAAACATCATTTAGTTAAAACCGGACACAGAAGGTTGAAGTTATATCAGAACTAGAATGTTTTATTCTTTATGAGTTTTACACATTCACAGTTAAGTTTTATGATTTTTAGATATTTGAACCCAGAATATTTGACTCAGAACAGACCCCAGTCTGTGAGGATCCAAACTTCTCCTCCTTCACCATAACCCTCAACACTGGCTCCCCTCAGGGCTGTGTGTTGAGCTCCCTCCTGTTCACTCTGCTCATATATCTGTGCACTTACTCTTATTCTTCCACGGACAGATAGAAAGATAGATGGATGGAAGGATGGATAGAAAAGGATAAAGGGTATAAGGGTATCCATGACAGGGGGGAAAATGTTGTTTTTTATCATGCTTCAAAATCACAGAGTGGGTCTGAGTCCATTGGAGAAACAGAAATGTTAGCATAGGGTGAGCAAAAATGGCTCAGAGGTTGTTTTTCAACAAAGCCAATCCTTCAGCAAGACACATTTTAATGTTTCTGCAGGTGTTGAGCTTTTATTTCCTCAATATAAACTGCAGAAGGTTTACAAAACAAAACTGTAGGATGAGTAAGCAGTGATATGTTTTACTTCGTAACCAATTCTAGACTTGTCACTCACCCTTCTACTAAAACATGTATCAGCTTATTTTTTTATGGATAAGGATGAAACATTTGTGTTGATATTGAGGATTTAGCTAAAAGGGGATCCACAAACCTATCGAGGCCCCTCATCACAGCCAGTCTGTGTTTGATTCTGTTCACATGTTCCTGAATAAAACATGACTTTGGAGCTGAAGCGTTCAACAAATAGCCTTCCCTGTGATGAAGATTTAGTGCTTACTTATTTTGACTTGACTGCATTTTAAAATAGTCCGTGTTGTCAGCAGAGGACAAATCATTTGTCTCAAAGTTAGCTAAGACAAACTTCAGTTCACATGTGGCCGTAACAATGATGGTCTGGGAGAAAACCTTCGGACCGATTGTTCAAATCAGAATATGCAGAATAACAATTTAATAAATGTGCTCTGAGCTGGGCGCTACATCGAGAGTAGTTTTAGAGATTAGGGTTTCCAGGAGGACACAGGTGATAAAAACATGTTTAATATTTAAGAGTGTAAACTCATCTCAGTTGAGTTTGTGATGTTCAGATGACCAGTTTGTTATAATGATGCAATTCATATCCCTTTGGACTTGTTTGTTAGAAACATAGACTTGGGAATAACATAGAGTTTGACATACACTTTCATTACATTTCAATGATATGATGTCAACAAAACCTCTGTGACAGATTGAGAATAAAGACCAGGGAAACCTGGATGTAGCATCAAGGTGTCATGTCCTGCATGAATTTCATAACAATTCTGCTGGAAGAACCATGTAATGAGGCTGTAAAGGGTATAATAATAGTGTTTGCAATAACTCCACTTTGGTGTTTATTTAGACTAACCATTGAGCCCCAGTATCTCACTGGACATCGACCGTTCCTGACCTTTGTAAGGGAGTCTCCAAAGTGTCTCAATATTTGTGGGGTTCCTAATTTCCTCGTGTGAGTCACAGGCTTGTCGTTTAAATTTTGAACTATTTTTGTGTGACAAATATTCTCTCAGAATAGCTACAATGTTGTGTGCATTCCTAAAATGTGTCTAAAACCCTTTTTAATTGAGATCTGTAATTTTGAAAAGCTACATTTTGACACCTGCATGGGAGCTCTTCCATGACAGAAAACATCTGAGGCCACAGCCTCAAATTGTCCAGTCTAAACGTCACTAGTGATCAACAATAATTTATTCAAATCTGGTCTAAATCTGCTTATCTCCAGCTCAAAAGTGTGCTCTAGTAGAATAAATCAAATGTGGGGGAGGCTGCCAAGGTGTGTAAAATGTGGGTCAAGGAAGATGCAGTGTGGGCAAAAAAAATTTGAAGGGCCTAGAATGCAGTTTGCAAGACATGCACTCAAAAAAGGTAGTTACTTTTTGAATGATTGCAATAAAAAGAAAAAAAAAGTGGCCAACACCCAGAATTTAGCAAGACTGCAAAGAAAAAATCACATACTTTCTCCCAATTTTGAGTCTCAACTAGTCTCCAGTTTTTACAGCTCAGTAAGACACGAGCTTTAGCTCATCAATCTGGTCAGAATAAAACTGTTTCTCCAACATGAGGTCATTCAAGGAGCTATCTACAACAGGTAAGATATGAATTGTTCACAACTTACACAAAATTCAACTTGAAAATGACCAAAATATTCCTTTGAGAAGGGGCAGTGGACACATTTAAAAGCTCAAGTTGTGTAAACACACACAAGTTTTGTATTTATATACTGTTTTATTTAGGATTGTGTGTTGATTTTGATTCATGGAAAACTCCCCGAGGAGTTGTAGGTGAAGGACAATTTTGGTAGGTAGGGCGCTCGGTTCTGTTGAAAGGCCGGACGCCCTCCTAGGATAACGGTAGGGGGAACACTGTATATATACATCCTTCCATCCATCCATCCATTATCTTTTACCCCCTTCTTCCATTTTGGGTCACGGGGGTCGCCGGTGCCCGTGTCCAGCAATCACTGTGCGAGGGGCGGGGTACACGCCGGATGGGTCTCCAGTCCATCACAGGGACACATAGAGACAAACGAGACAAACAAACATTCACTCTCTCACTCACACCTAGAGACAATTTAGAGTTACCAATCAGTCTAACATGCATGTTTTTGGTCTGTGGGAGGAAACTGGAGTACCCGTAGAAAACCCACGCATGCACGGAGAGAACATGCAAACTCC